TACATATATATATATATATATAATATTTTAAAAAAGTAATTCAAAATAAATATTTATAAATATTTATCTAATAACTTACTAATATTGTATGTTGTCTGGGTTAATACTTTTAATCTTAACAGTACTTTGCGTAAGTATTTCATCACTTAGCAAAGTATTATATATTAGTATTTAAATATTGATAATGTTCTGCGTAAGTATTTTATCAATGGACGAAGTATTACATATCAATATTTAAATATTGAAATCAATCATAAGGTAGGATTTGTAACATTAAATATTGAAATACTTGAGTACTAAAAGCTGTATTTGAATCACAGAATATTATTAAATACTGTACTTTTAATACTGAAAATAAGTAATTAATCAATGATTCTTAGTATGATATTTCTATAACGGTGGGTAATGATATATATAATGTTACATGATTATACATAATTATGTATGGACAAATTTCATACATAATTATGCATGAAAAATTTTTCATCGGATTTATATGACCTATTTTATTCACTTAATTAATTACAATCACTTGATCCAGTTAAATCGCTAGAAGTTGAACTGTGTCGAACTTTGAACGTTTATCTGCTTCATTCGTCTTTTTAACGATAATTAATGGAGTGGTGGTAAACGCCAACTTTTATTCGCTAAAAGTTGGATTGTGTCGAACTTTGAACGTTTATCTGCTTCATTCGTCTTTTTAACGATAATTAATGGAGTGGTGGTAAACGCCAACTTTTATTCGCTAAAAGTTGGATTGTGTCGAACTTTGAACGTTTATCTGCTTCATTCGTCTTTTTAACGATAATTAATGGAGTGGTGGTAAACGCCAACTTTTATTCGCTAAAAGTTGGATTGTGTCGAACTTTGAACGTTTATCTGCTTCATTCGTCTTTTTAACGATAATTAATGGAGTGGTGGTAAACGCCAACTTTTATTCGCTAAAAGTTGGATTGTGTCGAACTTTGAACGTTTATCTGCTTCATTCGTCTTTTTAACGATAATTAATGGAGTGGTGGTAAACGCCAACTTTTATTCGCTAAAAGTTGGATTGTGTCGAACTTTGAGCGTTTATTCGCTACATCCCTTATAGAAATATCATACTAAGAATCATTGATTAATTACTTATTTTCAGTATTAAAAGTACAGTATTTAATAATATTCTGTGATTCAAATACAGCTTTTAGTACTCAAGTATTTCAATATTTAATGTTACAAATTCTACCTTATGATTGATTTCAATACTTAAATATTGATATGTAATACTTCGTCCAGTGATAAAATACTTACAAAGAACATTGTTAATATTTAAATACTAATATATAATACTTTGCTAAGTGATGAAATACTTACGCAAAGTTTGTTAAGATTAAAAGTATTAACCCAGACAGCATACAATATTAGTAAGTTATTAGATAAATATTTATAAATATTTATTTTGAATTAATTTTTAAAAATATTATTACCAGTAAATAACATAATAACATAACAGTTTTATAACATAGTTATAAAGGAAATTAAGTAACCTCAATATTAATAACGTATAACAGCAGTTATATTACATGTTACTCCTATGTTATATCACAGTTATGTTCTGTGTTTGCTGGGTATCACCATGTGATATGCGGATATTAGAAGCGTTTACGTTGCTAACTCTGTTTTGCTCTACTGAGTTCCTTCTTTTGCCGTTGTTTGGTCCTGGCGGCGCTACAGATGTTGACAGACGCTTAGAATCGCCGCTAGCAGTCCATGGTTATACAGTCAAAGGTTCATGGCTGCTGGTTTAATATATTTCAATCAGATTCAAAAGTTCACTAACTACGGATTAATGTCGTCATGTAAACATAATCATATACCAATCAGATTCACAAGTTTTACAACAGTTGCAAGCTACTTTCTCTGCTGAACATAGAGTGTTTTCCAATTGCTTAACACATCTTAACATATAACGTACACAAAACCAATTTATTGGTCACATATTATCTAAAATATCTTGTAAGATAATATACAACCAATAAACGTTTTGTTTAACACAAAACGCAACTGGAAAGCACCCATAATCATTGACTGCATCAAGAATAGTAAGTGGGTGCATCTAGTGGCTGTGCATTCAACAGGAACCAAGGGTCTTTGCACGTAGAAAAATTTTAACCGTAATTGTAAAGTCGTAAAAAAATTGACCAATCACAGTCGACTATTCCTCGAACACAAGGTGAATAATCAACTCTGATTGGTTAGTTTTCTTTTTACGTGCAAAAGCCCTTAAGATCGTTCTACATTAGTTGCAAGTCGATTGCAACTTTGTTGCAATAGTTAATAAGAAGTGTCAATAGCACCATTGATGCTTCTGATTGGCTGTCGCAATAAGAATTGCGTCTGCTTGCTATCGGCTTGCAACTTAGGGTCGTTCTACACTAGTTGTAAGTCGATTGCAACTTTTGTTGCGACAGCCAATCAGAAGCATCAATAGTACCATTGATGTTTCTGATTGGCTGACGCAATAAGAGTTGCGTCTACTTGCGATTGGCTTGCAACTAATGTAGAACGACCTTTAAGCCCGTATCAGACTAAGGATTAAGATTGAGATTGAATTAAAAATTGGCCAATCAAAGCAAAATTCACCAAACTTGAGCTTAGTGAATTTTGCTCTGATTGGCTAAATTTCAATTCAATCTCAATCCTAATCTATAGTCTGATACGGGTTTTAGAGATAATAGCCTATATTTTGAATCCTCTTTTATTTATAAAAGTACCTCTAAAAGACGCTTAGGAGCCATCTGATTGGCTGAGAAGCTACATTTAAGGCATTTTTATCGATAAAAGAAGATTCAGAATATGGGCTAATATGAAAAGCAGTGACCACTGAATGGCAATGACTTAAGCTTATAAACGAAAGTTTTAGGATATAAAAAATATATATAGATATATTTTTTCTCATTTATTAGTATTCACTTATCGACTTATTAAGAAAAACAAAGCAAAGATGATTCCTAATTCGGAAATTCAGCTTATGTTTAGAAATCAGCCGAGTTTTTGGTTCAACTGTACTAGAGAACCTCTAGTACAGAGAATCGCCAATTTGGTCACGTGACTAGCTGATTGGCATAAATATATACGGATTTAGACATTGCGACGCCAATGCAGAACAAATGCTTATATTTACATGGTTTTGCATTGGCGTCGCAATATCCAAATCCGTACATGTTTATGCCAGCCAATCGCAGAGTAGCTGGTCACATGACCAAGTTGGCGATTCTCTGTACTAGAGGTTCTCTAGACTGTACTAGGCAGAGCGCTGTTTGAGATCTACAAACATGCTCTCTCTCATCCCGCAACACTCAAGAGATAGTGCGCGTTCCAGATAGTATATATTTCAGTGGTTTTTATTAACTTATGAATATACATTGTACATCCAGTCGTTTCATTTTTGCAATGTAGGTGCTGACTGGCTTGAAGATTTCGAATCGCGCATGGAGGCGCTGCGCCTTCGTTTCAACTCCTCTTGGCGTCTGTTCTTGGCCTCCTTTTGCCTTTGCGCCAAGAGCTTCGCATATTCGGCGGCCTGCTCTTTACGTGCCAGGCAGCGCTTCTTCTTCAACGCCAGCCTATGTCTTTTCCTCTGTAAACATACAATAAGCGTGTTACATTTAAAATTGCATTGAATTAGTGTCAATTTTATGTGAACTGTGTAAACCGTTAAACCTGCTCGAATTAATACTGACTAGACTAATAATTATGTTGAATATTCATCTTCCTTTTTTTTATTACAAATACAATTCGAGTTAATTTAAGTAAATCTAAGTTGGTAATTATATGTAATTAATGTAATCTTATTTTTAATATTTCAAAAATACTTCATCTAATTTGTGTTTTAAGACTCCTGGCTAGTCAGGCGAGAAGTTCGCGTCGACGGTAACGATATAGTCATCAGTAGTGGGAATGAGAACTTCGTTTATCGTATGCATTAAACGAATTATGTATGTATGCATGTGTATATATGTAAACAGCAACCTAAATTTTGTCGTCTGAATCACGGCGTTATTACTGACTGTAGTGCTTACATATTACACATAACACAATTGCGGAAGTGTGAAAATTGTCCGGATACTGTACTTTTTGTAATATTTTAAGTATAATAGTACTTATTCTATTATATTCCGCACCCCGAGTTTCACAGCTGATCTCCTGTCAAAATAAGCCGATTTCCACACATACACTTTGCAGTGTTGTAAAGGTTATTTCGGGAAAAGACACTGCCCGGAGCATTTTACGAGTGTGTAGAATCGATTGCGTCATTTTGTTAACATAACTTCTTATTTAGCAATGATTCGGACGCAATTTAGGTATGCAATTTCTCGCTTCTGTGTCATTAACCAATATGGCCGCGGTCACTAACCAGGAGCCTTAATGCTTTTAAATAAAATTACACACCTGAAGAACAATTGGAGTAATAAGGCGTTGAATTTTCGGTGCCTTTAAACGCTCTTTTTTGCCTTCCTTCTGAACAGGTCGTTTTACCACAAACTGACGGACGTCATCTTTCTTGGACAAGTTAAAAAGTTTGCGAATTTTACTCGCTCTCTTTGGTCCTAGACGACGTGGCACGTTTTTGTCCGTCAGCTCTGGGATTTCCTTAACGAATTTAAATTGTACTATTAAACTACATATCGATGAGACTAAAAGTTTTAGTAATTGTCGATTTTGATATATAAAACAAGTTATTTTTCCTATATAAATTTCAGAATCACGCGATACAAAAACTAATTTATAAGTTATTACGCGAATTAAATAATAAACGAAAAAATGTCTCGTTCGTACACTGAGAAAAAGGCACAAATGACGTGACGCAGTTTCCCAAATCAAAAAACGAGTTTTATCTCCCATGCTTATGACAGTATTCGAAGAAAATTAAGATTATCTTGAATACACTTTGAACTGCATGGAATCCTATAATAACATGTAATATCATCTAAGATATGCTACGATTATAGATAAGATTATACGTTACCTGTTTTCCTTTCCGAACTATGACGAGAGCCAACACAGATAAATTCGAGTCCACAATACAACCTCGAACAGATTTGCGTTTGCGCTCTCCATCACGTCTGGGTCTGTAGCAGGAGTGTCCCTTCGACAGCAACAAACGCACACGACCTACATACAGATTATAATATTATAAACACATTAAAAATACACTATAAATATGTTAACTATTGAGAAGTATTTAAATTAGTGTTTGAAAGTATCGATACGACTATCGATACGTATCGATATGGTTTTTCATATTATTTGAGTATCGTTCAGAATATCGATATTTTATATGCGTCCCTCTGCACGGCGGAAATAATGGATATTTACGATAATTAAAGTACGGGCTTTCGCACAGAAATTTTCGTAAACGTAGCCATATTACGTAAACTTAAGCTGAAGAACCAATTAGTATATTGCTATAGATTTATATATTCCAAAAGATTATAAAAGTGATATCAAGTTTTATTTAAAAATTATTAGGTGAGAATCTCGCAATCTATATTTGAGATTTTGGCAACGCGAATGTTATTTATTTGATATACTGTAAGTATTGCGATTGTGAATACAACACTTCGCTCTCGCTCGGCGAAAAAAAATCGTATAGGAATTTAAAAAATCGCAATTTCAAGACAAAAGATAACGCTTTAAAATGCCGCTGAGAGAATGTTAAAAACATAATTTGGTCAGCCATAGTAACGCCTTGAAAATGGCAAAAATCACTGTTTTTGGCCCATATTATCCCATTTATCTAAAAAATCTGACGTGATGAACATTTCCCGCTGACGGATTCGGATTCAGCGACCAAAATTACGTAGGAAGTCACTACTCTGCTGAAGTCATACACTTCTTGTACCTGAACCTTGTAGGCTGGTGTAATTGAAAAATGCAAAAAAATTATTGGATACTTTTGTCATAGTGCTTTGGCAACATCAATTTAGAAGACAAATTTAGAAATGCTGGAAAATCGTATCTTAAACTGAAACAAGAAGTGATAACTAGATGAGGTAGATTCTGTATGAAATATTACGCCGCATATTAAACGCTGATGACATTTTGACTTTGACTTTAATGAAATCAGAAAAAAGGCCAGAACCGTTAAATTTGTCCGTAAAAAATATGTTTTGGAAGATGTTCTTTCAATTTTAACGCCAATAAATGATGCAATCACAATAATATTTGGGAGCAATTACGTTTCAGTATCTTTAATCATTTCCATAACATTAGGTATTGCAGAGACTTTTAAAAAATTGGAGATAAAAATTGATGCAGGTAAGATTATGCTGCAAAATATAAAGCAAAGTATAATTAATCGATTACATCCATACGAAACAATCAAAGATTAATTCCAAAAAGTACAACATTGTTGAACTTTTAAAAAGTTAGGCTTTCAGAATATGGATAATGCTTCCCAAGCACAAACATATTTATAAAATAAAGTGCGCACAATTAACGCAGAATTAGAGAATGAGATTTCAAATATTTCGTTAACATCTATATCAGGAATTAATACGAATAGTACATTTCAATCAGGACTTCTTGCATTTTTAGAACGTCTGAAAAGACACGAAGTACTATAGCAACTCTAACTAGTGATGCTATAATTATTGTACGCCAATATCTATAACAAGCTAATATTGATAAAAATGAAGATTTTGGAAATTTTGGAAATTTAATCAAAATTTGAATCCTTTACCTTCGCTAGCCCACACATATTTTTGTGTTCCAGCTACGTCAATTCCTTTCAAAGAAATTTTTTCAAAATGAAAGACGAAATCGCCTCAAGGGATCGAAATTTGATAAACTGATTTTCTTGAAAAAAATCAGTGGCTACAAGATAAGCTTTAGAAATTATTTTAATATAAAAAAATTGTTACGTTCAAGTAAATATTTGTTAAAAAATATTTGAATAATTATTTTTCTTGGATTAAGTAAATATTATTTGACTGTAGCATATTTTTTCCTTCAATGTGCTACATTCAAGTAATATATACTTAACTCAATAATTACTTCAATATTTCTTAACAAATATTTACTTGAACACAGCAATTTTTTTCAATGTAAAATAGATAAAGTAAAAACATTTCTTTTTATTTTACTTGTGATTTGTGATAGATAAAACTGGCATAATAGTGGTCTTAAAATATTTTTTGTTCTTTTTGTGTCATAAATTACAGATTTCTTTCTAATTATGATATATAATCATAATTTATATTTATAATATATATATATATATATATATATATATATATATATATATAATTTACATTTAGATATACAAATATTATCAGATACCAACTTATTTCTGTTTTTGTTCTTAAATTTTATTAAGAGAATTATTTTTATTTATGATTGTAATAATTAGGTTATAAAGTGAAACTACCCATACAAAAATGTAATAAAAATAAATGTGAACATATTGTATGTTTTAATATGAATACATTGTAAGAAAATTGTATATACATATATACAAGGTGTCTGACTTGTATTAGAGCTAATATATAGCTAGAATAAGTTGAAGTGAGTAATAAAATTAGTGTTTTCTTGAACAACCACATATAGAATTAGAAATTAAAGGTAAGTATTGATACAGTATCAATTTTTTAAAAAATACCAACTCAGTATTGATATTTTCGATCACTAATTTAAATGTGAAACTACTCGGAATAATTTTCTAACATACAAAATAGAATTTTTCTAAAGAATCTTGTAACAAAGTTTGCCACTTAATATCTAATTAAATATCTAATTTCTAAAAATTTGCAGATAACTTTGATATTACTGATAATAAACAAGATCTCACTTAATTCTTTCATTTTAGAAAAGTAATATAATTCTAGAAAAGTGCTTTTGTTCATACTGAATGTCAACCCTAAAAAGGTAGAAGTAATTTATGGTACAATTAAGGTAAAGATGAATAAGTTTTAGTTATTCAATATTTTACAAAAAAGCAGTGGTATTTATTTTAGTTATGAAATATATATTTACTATATATCATAGAGGCAGCTTATGGCTTTCAGTATGAGTAATAACTATTCATGCAATCTTTCTACAGTTAAAGAATAGATTTCCTTTAATATATACCAATAGCAGCATTCAACAGAAAGAACTGCTTTACAACTGCTATAAAATTTGTGGATCTGATTGATATATGCTCTTAGATCCAGCCAAAGTTAAAAATATAAGCTAATCAGACTCACAAATTTTACAAAGTAATTTTTTCCAGTGAACGCAGCTAATGTACTGCGAATCAAAGATAAGTATATCCAGACTCACCATTCGTTAGAACACCTTGCTTCATTGGAAAGCCTTGTTTGTCGTTGCCGCCGGAGATGCGAACAACGTATCCTTTCCACTCATCTCCAAGCGCGTCGGCTTCAACCTCAGCACCCATGCGCTTTTCGTAAAAAATTCTGAGCTTGTGCTCATCCGAAATCTCGAACAGCTTCTGACATCCTGTCGCAGGATACGATACGTTTAGCTGTAAAAGATGTAACACGTGTTCAGAGAAAATATTTAAGGAGCATTTGGGATACCCTTAAATTGAGGTTATATTTTGTCTAGAAAAACATAATAACCAGTAAAAGTAAATATCTTCGTACGTTAATTCAACGAAACAGAAATTAAGCAACAATGAAAGAACTTTATCTATGTTAATCATAATTGAATACCAAAAGAAGTGAATCTGGAAGCTCGCATGATTACTCGTAAGTGACACTAACATTGCTTCTGATTAAAACCACGTGTAAATAAGTGAACAAAAATAAGAATTGTACGATAATTATGGTATTCCGTAAAATTGCGGAACATTCTGATTTGACGTGAGGAACGTGAGATTATTAAAATATACGTAGATCTTTACCTTCATTGTGGCAAGATCTAAACGGTACAGCGCACCATGAGCGAAAGAGAATGCTACGTCTACATGCGTGTCGACTAGCGATTGTTGAGGCGTTTTTTCGTTTCGTCACCACGGTAGCGTTTAGTTGGTTAGTTTGGTCCACTTAACGCTCGCAACGCCACGAACGTCATTGGCTGCGTTCAGAAAACACAGGGTGTTTCCGATAATACCTTTCCGAGTCATTTCCCTAGAGCAGAAATAAGTTACAGACATCACCATTTACTACTATTATGTGATTCATGACAACCCAAAGCTACCTAATGGCTCCTGCACACAGGACGCGGTAATGTTTGCCGCGCAGCGGAAGTCTGCGCGACAGCCAATCAATATGTTGTTTTTCCGTAAGAGCTAGAAAGTTATTACGGAAAGCAGCATATTGATTGGCTGTTGCGCGAACTTCCGCCGGGCGGTAAATTACCGCGTCCTGTGTGCAGGAGCCATTAGGTAGAACAATACCGTGACAAATAAACGAGATAATTTTGTAAAATTGTATTATTGATTATAAAATTATCTGGTGTTGTTTTCTAATAAAATTTTATTTATTCTTAATTAAAGTTATATAACCATTAAAATATATATTATATTTTTCAAATATTATCCTAAAGTAAAAAGTCACACTGTTTTAACCTATTTGCAAGTATTGTTTTTACATGACTCGTGCAGGTGCAAGTCCACAATAAATTATGCCATTAGAGTATATTGATGACAAAACAAGATAGTTTTAAAATCTATTTTAATAATCTTAATATAGTTTATTGTAATCAAAACATATAATGCAAGAATTTATATAAACTTAAAACAATAAATTATTATACTACAGCAAAATTTCAAATTCTTTTACCTGTCAATGAATATGCTACGACAATGTTTTCAAAAAAAATGTGGGATCTTTATATGATGTTCTCGTAGAGGTTGAAAGTTATCTTCATCATCTTCATCAGATAGGTGATCAAAAAATATTTCCCACATTTCTACTACATCCATTTTTTTATCTAAAAATGTTTAGTTGTAATGAGTATTAAAATATAAAAAAAATAACTCAAATAATGTTAAAAAATAGTAACATTAAGAAACGTTTGTAGAATTACATACAATTTAAAACAAACGTCCGACCGACCAGACAGCCAGCCAGCAATAACACAGCCACACAAAAAAAATTTTTTGTTTTGATCTGGGAGTCTGACTATATCTACCATATGTTTTTGGGGTTGCTGAATCTAAATCCGTGGCCTATTTAACCCCATCAGATCAGGATTTTGACATAACCTCAAAAAACCCATAATTTGAGCTATTAAAAGTTAATAACTAGAAAAATCAAATAAAAATCTATTAAACTTCAGCTTTTAAACCCTATAACCTATTTGAACATATAAACTTATTTACATAACCCCATAACTTACATAATCTCATGGCTCCGTAACCCATGGAAAAAAATTTTTTACATAAAAATTCTGCTATAACTCCGAAAAACTTATATTTCAAGATGTTAGACATCTTGGCGAAGCCCCCCAGTTACATAGCTAGAAATAGATGGTATGACAGATTTTCTAACCTAATACGCCCTCAACTTTGTTGGGTGTATATCAGTTGGACACGGGGCAATTGGACACAGTCCAATCACAAGTCGCTGTTCCAAGGGACCCTACAAATGTCTCTAATCATACAGTGCTGTGATTGGCTGTGTCCAAATGCACCGTGTCCAAGTGCACCGCTCCCGATCACAAGAGCTCGGCAGTAGTAGAGTAGTGACCGGTGAGGCAGTCAGTCAGAGTCGGGAGCATTCCAATTGACCACGGTACGATTGGACATAACCAATTGATGAAAAGAATTATCTAGTGAGTTACTAGATCGAACCAATCATTACAATCTATGTCCAATCGTACCGTGGTCAATCAAAACCCACTCGTCAGAGTCGGGTACCGGGATCGGAAGTTCAAAAGTAGTCCTCACCTCTAAACCTAATTTCTCTAATCCACTAATTCTAAACCTTAGTTTCCTTTAATTCTTAAGTAATTAACTTTAGGTTATCTTTAACATTTCTAAACATTTACGAGCGTTTTATTTTAATGCATAATTCTTTAGTTTGTTAAACAATTCATTTTAGTTATTTCGTCACTTCCGTTACTCTAGTCATACTTAAGATATCTTTGTGAGTATATTATATATCAAGAATTATACAATATACATTATATAT